GACGATTGATTAATAATACTCTTTACACTGTATCCCCCTTCTATAGTACCCCTCTCTTCACACAGTACCCCCAGGGGGGGTATTATTTAATTAATCTCAGCTTTTTTGTAAAATACCCGGGGTACTGTATGCAGCGCTGTACGGTACTGCATGCACTTGTACTATCTACACTAGACTGTGATGAATTAACAGAAAACATGGTGCACTTTGTAAAGGGAATAGAGCTGGCATGACTTGCAGTTTATTGAGTAGGACCGTAAAGCACAATAATAATCTCATGGCCCACGTGATCCACGTGATGTTCGATCGTAATAGAAAGTCCGGAATTGATTAATAGATGACGTATACAAAAGTCAGTTATATGGTGCCGGAAGCTTATACCCGACAATCACGTGAAATGTTTCAATTTTCGCGTGACTGGAATTGACTAATAAAATTGATGTATTTCAAACATTTTTGCAAATACTGCGCCAGAAAGATAGCATTTTTTAAAATGCTAAAACTTTTTAAAACCAATTTTTTTTAAAAAAACTGACCGTAACTTTATACACATAGAAATGAACTCTACAAAGTTATCGGTAAATTTTTTTTAAAAAAATTCTTCTATAGAAAGTTGTAGCTGTTCGAAAAAAAGCGTCAATCTTCAAATCGGTATGACTCTTTATAGAAGAATCTTTTTGAAAAAATTAACCGATAACTTTGTAGAGCTCATTTCTATGTATAAAGTTATCGGTCAGTTTTTAAAAAAAATTGTCCGTAAAAAGTTTTAGCATTTTAAAAAATGCTATGTTTTTGGCGCAATATTTGCAAAGATGTTCGAAATACATCAATTTTATTTGTCAATTCCAATCACGCGAAAATTGAACCATTTCACGTGATTGTCGGGTATAAGCTTCCGGCACCATATTTCATTCATCTCACAAAGTCTTGTAATGTTGCACAGTCTGATGCACAAGTTGATTGAATATTTGAAAATAAGCCCTACTAGTACATTAATGATATGTTTGTTTGCTTCTCGTAAACTTTGATGCAAAACAACCAGTCGATCCCTTCAATTTTACACGTTGAGTAACTGAATTTTCCTAAGATCAATAACGATTACTATAAAGTAATAATTTCAGACTAGCATAAATCATATCTGTAATAAGATTAACTATTTAAGTATTTAAATGAATTGTAAGAAAACTTATATGTTTGAATGAAAAGAATTAAATTCCAAATAAAGTGAAAAATAAAATAAAAATGAAATATTAAGTCGATTTGATTTGGTTAACTTACACTAAATGTACACTTTTAAAGTTAATTTGATAAGATGATTTGAATGGTATTTTCATCAATGTTGCGATAAAGGTTGTAGAAGTCGAAGTGAGATAAATCGTGTGCAAAAGATCTTTACAAAATTTGTGAAAAAGATCAAAACATTTTGTCAGAGTAAAATAATTTTGCTAGATAAAAAGGATCTCTTGCAATATAGGTAATACCAATTTTAAATCAATTGATTAATTATACTTTTTATTAATAGTCTCACCTATACTGCAAGATATCCGATAAAAATATTCCAGTTAGATTCTTGTTAATTATTTTTACAATTCATATTTATCCAAACATTTTTACATATATGAAAACTTTGCGCTTGGTTAAATTTATATTAATCTGATCATGTAAATGCTCGTTGAATATAGAACACAATTTACCTGCTTTTATACAAAACGTATGCATAGCAGAAAAACAGATGTATCATTCCAAAAATAGAAAACATTTCTAGATGACTTGGACTCGTCAATTCGTAACTCGAATGATTCGGGTTTATCATGATTCGAATCATGATTTGTGAGATTCGTGAGGTTCGCGAGTCAAATAATCACGCAATTTGTTAATGTTAAGTATATTAAATGTTTTCTTGTTCTTAAATCGTAGGTTTATTCTTGTCCTCCTTGAATCGTAATATGAGTGCCACAATGGATTTCGGAATATCAAGTTTATTATTTACTCAGACTCGGTCCTTGAAAAATCTAATCACAGAAATGATTAGAAACTAATGTTGCTGACCAAATTTTTTTCATATCTGATTTATAAGTCGTAATTTAATTTTTTGTGATTCGAATTATTGAATAAATTGTCATAATCAAATTATTTGAGTGCGTAATAAAAAAAATCGTTTCGTGTTACCCACCCGTTTGAAATCAATATCAGGACACAAACCAGTTACAGCTGTTCTCAAATTTGAGAACCATTCGATAAGTTTTTTGATTTTGGCATGTTCTGTATAGAGGATCTTTATTTCCTTTTGCATATTATTGTAGAAGTATAGTGTGAAATGTCATACATGTCGGATACATGCTAAAGGTGTGAAAAGATCAATAACGTGCTTAGTAGATATAGTTAACGTCAATATTAGATTACAAGATAATGCAAAAGCCACAGTGCCTCAATGCCGCATCGCCAGAAGTAGTACCGGTACGTACCTATTTCTTGTAAGATAGTATTATCAAAAAGGAGAATTTCACCATGCTCAACGTACTCATGTAATTTATAGTAAAAGAAATTCTTTAAGCAAAGAAGTTTTTCTATAAGCTACTTTCATTAACATGAAAAAAGAACAGTTCCAAAAGGGTTTCACCTGTAAAGTTGTAATTTAGAGTCTTATTGACCATGCAAATTATTATAATTCATGTAAATTTAAATAAACTTTATCTGTTAATACGATAAGTATATAAGATTGTCTTTAATGTTCATTTGTATCGCAAATATAGAGAACATTCATTTCTCAAATCACTTTATTATCCATTTCAATGAAAATTAGAATCTTTTGTCATGGTTGTAAATTCATTTGTCAGCTCGTTAAATAGATATATCAATTTGGTTATCTTATATATTTATTTAGGAAATTAAATTCATAAAACAATTTCAATATAAGGGTATTCTGGCACGGGAGGTAATGTGACGCACTGAAGTTTTTTTAAAGTATCTCATAATACTATAATCAGAAACGAACGACTTTAACACCATTTAATTCGCCTTAACGAGACGAATTGAATGGTGTTAAAATCACTTTAATTAGAGCTCTTGGAAACTGTTGGCCACAAGATTCAAGCAATGTTAATAAAAAAAAAAAATACTAAAAATTAACTAAAGTGTATTTGGCACGCCCAGCGCCTCTTAAGAATCTGTAATTATTATTTGTCTACTGTATTATTGATTAAACGTCGAGCTCGGCCAATTATAAAGTTAATGCAGTATGTAGATATTACTATATTTGCAGTGCGCCGAAAAAATCGTTTTCAAAAAAGTTGCAATAAACAAATTTTTTAAGTAGTAATACTTATATTTTTTTCATTAGCGAATAACCAAGGTTAAAATTAGTTGGTTTAAATGAATTTTTAGAGATAAATATAAAATTTTAATTGGCAATAGAGCTTAGGTGCGCCAGAATACCCGACTCTCCCTTACACATAATGCTCAACGCATTAAAAACTATTGTTCCAATAAATTTTCAAAAAAAAAAAAATTGTACCATTTGCTAAGAAACTCGATTTTTTAATGCTTCAATGTATAAGCACATGTATGTGGAATTTCCATATTAGGAGTACAATAGTGCTTTTACATATCGATATTTATTACATTAATGAGGATAAAGTATACATATATATAAATTTATTTAAATTAAAAGCATATAGTATTTCACAAAGAAATTAATGAGCAATAACTTAGTATGATTATAAAATGGATTAACAATAGCTATGTAATTGTACAAAGCGTAAAATTCTGCATCATGTGTACCAATTCTCTTTTCCTTTGGTACATTGAAAATCCATATTTTTCTCTAGTTCATAAAAAAAAAAAAAAAAATTTTTTTTCTTGCATATTATTGCATATATGTCAAAGGTATGTTCATTAATCTATACTTTTTGTGCATAGACCCTGTAAAAATTCATGTAAGTTCCATATTTGTCGTATTCTTCATGAACATCCTGTAACATTTTTTCAAATTCATTCACGCTTATTCCTAAATTCTTAGCGAGACGTGGAGCCAAAGTTTGAAAGAGAATTTTTAAGCACTCTTTCATGATCATTGCAAGACAATCACAATTGCCAATGGATTGCTTTTTGACTTCCTCCTGAACGTTTGTTAGGTTTGGTTCTTTAAGAAGCCAATCTTTGTAGAGTATTGCAGCTCTTATATTTAAATCCATTGTAGAAAATTCTTGTCTAAAAGATTCCACGACTTGAGTATAACATGGACCGCCATTAAATGCGGCACCATCACTTTCATAAAATTCAATCCAGCCATTAGATTTACATACACGGATGCATTCTGGAATTACTTGAGTGGTCCAATTTTCTTCAGAAAAACACGCAGATAAGAATCCTGTAGAAAAATATATTATTATTATTATTATTATTAGTATTATTTTTATTAATAAATATAGTATTTATTATTTGAAATTTAATTAATGAAAATCATACCCAAATGTATGAAATCAAAATAATTATCGTCAAATGGTAAACCATCAAGAATATTCGCTTGTATAAAATGCGCATTTCGTGGTTTAATCATGCTTGGAAACATTGGCGCAATATCAATTCCGTAAAATTCGGATCGGGAAAAATCACAACTATTTTCTAAAACCCATGTTCCTGGTCCACATCTGCAAATAAAGAAATTATTAAATAAAAAAAAATTTAAAAAAAAAATTTAAAAAATAAAAAATAATACAAATGAATGATGTTTTTACCCTATATCTAATACCCGACCACCTTGTTTAAGCATATCTTCTACCGGAGCAGAAAAATTTCCATAAAATATATGTCGAAATAAATAATGTTGCATTTGTAATCTATCTATTTCGATGTCATCTTCCGGAAAAATATATTTTGAATTCTTATAATAGGTGTACCGTCGACCTTCAGCATACCAGCATTTTTGTTCACTGGTGGGAGATTTTGAAGGGATTTGATCCTTTTTTTTATTCTTTGTTGATATGGTTGATTGTTTGTTTCCCATTATTAAATATGTGATCGTAATTGTATCTAAAAAAGTGAGTGTGGACGAGAAACTAAATAATAAAGGAAGGAAGTGGGTTGTAAAATTATAAAAACATTAAATATTTATCAAAGATCAAAAAAAACTGTTGTTTCACTTTTTGAGATGAGCATTTATGTAAAAATGGATTACAAGTGTATGCAATAGTTGCAGAAAAAAAAAAAAACCTAATCTTATTTAATATTGGTATAGTATAATATGGTCCGTGTTATTTGCCGTATATTGATCCGATAAGCGAATTTATGGTTCCTTAAAATAGATGAGTAATTACCATCTTTTAGAATAACAGTTTAATCCTGACTGAATGATTATAAATGAAGTATTGAACTATGCCAAAAAAGTAATTATTTAATTATGCATAATTACTTTATTATTTATGCTGTTTAAGAAAGTAACGTATATTCAATTTATTTTTCATAGAAGACAGTTATTCAAAATAGCACAACAATCTCATATTGGAATGATTGTCTTGACAGTTTTTTTTTTTTCTTAGTGACTTTAGTAATTATACGCAGGATTTCATTACTTACGCAAGCATGTGGCGAAATAATTCTGCATAAGCAAGTGTGCTCAAGCCGTTACCCTTTAAGGAATTTCGGATGATAAGCCTTCCTTTTACGACTTTTACGATAATTTATCTCTCCGAACCACGTATAGTGAAACAAACCACTCTTTGCATATGCTAACAGATCACATAATTTCATTACTGTCGTCGTCTTTTTTATTGTTATGCTAGATAAGTTGTTACAATATCACATGATCTTTTTAAATATACAAATACGCATAAATGCATTTTCATTATTTTGAAGCTAATAAAGTTTTGCATTATTAATATAACCATACACATTGTACTGCATAACAATTCACTGTAAAATAGAACATTACACCCTGGAAAATCGGTTTCAAATTTACATCATAATTTACCTATCGTTCATTAAACCTAAAATAATTGATTTCATTTGTATACATCTTCGAACAAATCGGTTAAAGCCATTATAATGTTCATTATTTCATTAACGTTTTATCTATTTAGATTTATTCATCATTTAAAATAATGTATAATATAATTTTTCATAAACATAAAACTCGCCAACGCACATATTTATTTGTCTCTCTGTACGGGGTACTATTTTATTAACATAATAGAGCTTCATATTGATTATCGTTGAATGGATGGATGGATGAAATTACAAAAGAATACGCACCTATAGAAAAAATGTTATCAGTAGAAAAAGGAGATTGGAGCTTATCTCTTTGATGATGTATTGAATAGTTTATGTTATAGATGCAGGTTGTTTTGATGACGTATATTTACGTCACGTTGCCTAATTGTCCCTCCACACCATTTAAAATTTAGCAAAATTCGCTACTAATAGAGTTTATTAAAAACCTACTAATTATAAATTTTATTTCAATGTACCATAATATTTAAATTATAAAAAAAAAAAGCAAAATGACTTGTATTTACATATTTTCAACGGTTGACATAAAATTATATATATATATATGCAGGTACCCTATGAGAAATTACAGCACGGAATTGTTGGTGTACGAGACCACAAAAGCGGCACGTAATCTACATGAGACATTGCATGGAATGCACGTTCTTGACACGTAAATAGGCGTGGATTCCGTGCAACACTACACGTATTAACTTGCACTTTTACGTGTTTTCTCATGCATTGCCCCATATATATTTACATGTTTGCAGGCAACGGCAATAACGTATATCTTTACATACTATCACATATATTATTCTGTATTTGTTTTGTGTATAAACAAGTGTTATAACATATACTTTAGTTTTCATAACTTTAATAATTTATATTTTTTAAAAAATAATTTTTTATTATTAAATATTTAAAGAATGCATAAAAATTTTTCACTAAAAATGCTAAAAACACAGAAAGAATCAAAAAAAAAAAAACTGTAAGTGTTTTTGAAAATACAAAAAAAAAAAAAAAAACTTTGAAAAAGTGCAACATAACTTATCGCAAAGTTCATCTAAAGCACTATCAAAAAATATCTATGTATTATCAAAAAAAATTGTTAAATATTTTTTTATAAACATAACTTATTATTAGATAAATAATGTCTAGAAGAATATTAAAAGTAGAGGGCATGTCGATTATTTATCATATGATATTTGTGGTACAACGTGATTTTTGCAAAAAAATGCTACTATAAAACTTTTCACAGTTGCAATTAATTTTTATAAAATTTTTGTTAAAATATGTTCTTTATAGTAATATAAATTTTAATAGCTAAAATATTTAAAAAAATATATGCTTGTATATATTGCAAAGTTTTTTGAGGTAGTGCTTGACACAATCAGGTAGTTGGGTCTAAAAAAAGATATGCATTTAAAGAAGTATTGCATTTAGGAGGTCTGACTGTATATATATATATGTATATATGTAGTATTAGTTAATATGTAATTATTTGATATCCAACCTAATCACAAGTAATTGACTATTAAATTTTTGTTTGATTGTGATAAACACTATTTCGGGGTAATTCCAAATTCTTTGGAGTTATATAAAATTATTAATTTTGATTAGTTCATATTATATAATTATTATATGCCAAAAAATAATACTTTAAATATATCTATATTAATAAATACTCAACCAATTTTAATAATTTTACTACTATTAGAATCAAAAAAAAACTATTATACAACTTTTATTTAATTTTTAATAATATTAATTAATAAAATATATATATTTATCTGGAAAACTTATATAATTATAAAAAAATTTTTTATTATTATTTTTTCATTTGTTATAATATAATTATATTTGTTCTAATATTCAAAATTAAAACTTAGCAAGTAACTCCCCACCAATTATAATTATAAATTGCTAAATAACACCAATATTAGGCAAATTGTTGAATATGATAATTTGACAAATAATTGGCTACATGTGCTACAAAGCAGCATGTGCTCATTTGCCAAATTACTATTATTCGACAATTTTTGCCCAATATTATATATATATACATATATTTTAAGATATGGCAACTTAGTATAGTAGTGTAGTTATTATATCTTAAGCTAGCTTAACTATAGTACTAAGTTCAAATTCTACTAATAATATTTTAAACAAAAATACTTGTATTATAGTAATAAATCTTTATTGACAAATTAGATTTTATTATTTATAACTCTAGTTATACTAATATATTTTGTAGAAGTATTTGTATAATATTTAAATTGTATAAAGAAATACAAACTAGTATAGGTAGTGTAAATCTATAATAAAACTTCTAAAACTATATAAAATTAACAGAAAGAACTTGAAAATTTAAAACTAGCTTGACAAGATACAAATAGAAAGTAGTAAGAATCTTTAATAGTACTACAAACCTAATTTAAACTAAATCAAAGAATTGATAAAATTAGATAATACAAAATTCTTAACCAATCAGATTATTAAAGTTGTATTAGAAAAAAAGAATATATATTTTAAAAGTATATATCAAAAAAAAAAAGCCTATAAGATATTTAAAGCTAAGCAAACCTAATTTACTAAGCTATCTAAATTGGAAAATTAATAAAACCAAGAACACAAAGTATAAAATAATAAAAAGTAAATACTAAAATCTAAGTAAATCTACAAAAGTAATGTTTAGCATAATTAAACAAAAATTTGATAGTCAAATACTTGTTAATATATATGTTTAAATTAGATATCAAATGATTGCAGATTAACTAAAGCTAAATATATACTATCCTATTTGAGCTAGCCTGGTTTTACGCAGTTGTCAAGACTCCTACTTGCAGTTAAGATTATTTCTATTTAATCACTTTTGCTCTTATAAGGTTTACTCCTAATCCTGGTACTCGTATTTGAACTTTTTTTTTTGTTATTTTTTTATTAGTCTATCTCTTACTTCCAACTGGTGACTTGGAAGATTCAACCTTGGCTTGGCATTAGATGCCGGTACCCTCATCTTATCTTGATACATGATTTCCTAACACATGTCCTTTTTCTTCAATTCAGTAGGCTGGTCCTTTAGACACACCTGGTATTTTTCCATCAGTTGCCTGACTTCCATAACCCTTTGCCTTGATGGGTAGGGCCTCTTATTACTAGTTTTCTATGCTGATTGGCTAGGGTTGGTGTACTCCATAACATCTCACAAATTTTAACTTTCCAAATTGGCAGTCAAGTTGGTAAATCCTCCCACTAAAGGATCTTGTTGTCATTCGGTTCTCCAATTTCAGTCCCAACTTCCAAATTTGGATCTTTCCCATGATACCATCAAAGATCATAGCTACTTCTTACTCAAGTCTTCCCAAATGGGTTTTGAACATCTCAGTTTCTTGGCCTTTTATGCACCGAAGCTCCCATGTAAACATGGTATCACCAAAATTACAGGTTCTAGAACCCAACTGATCGATAGATAATTGTTACCATAACACAGGCTTATTTTTCGAAAACGTTGTCCATGAGATTCGAACTTTGGATCTGCCGCTTAGTGGAGTGATGACTAGACCACTTCACTAAGCTGTCATATCCTTATTTAAATAGTTTTTAAATATTGATAATTTGAATATAGCTTTAAGTTTTTGGTTACAATAAAAGTATAAATTGGGTTTATTTTTATTTTTTTTTTTGGTATTAAGATAATCTCTATAGCCAGGAGCTTTTTATTAGATAATTAACAATATATATTTATAATTATAATAAGAGTACAACTAGTTATATATACAACTTTTAGTTATCTATTTAAGTAGTCTATCTAGGTTTTATATTAGCTACTATATTTGCAATCTAACTAGAAGATTATCTATTTAAGCTATCTAGTTTTTATAAATGAGAATATAGCTAGCTATATATACAACTTTTAATTGTCTATTTAAGTAGTCTGCTCTAGATTTCATACTAGCTATTATACCTGCAATCCAACTAGATGATTATTTATACTTTCTGGTTATAACTAGCTTGTTATTTTTCATCTAACCAAGATTTAACTTACTATTTATAGCTAGATTTTGTGCTACTTATAGATTTCACACTCTATCTAAAACTACTTTATCTTGAAATAAACCTAATAGAGTAGTACATGTTTTACACATGTATTTACTTATATGTTTAGTAACTTCTTTCTAACTAGTATCTGTTGTGCTACTATTATTAAGTTCATATCTCAAGCTATTTTTATTTGTATCTCAAGCTACAACTGTTTTATATTAGTAGTTAGTTACTTACTTCTTGTTTTTGTATTTAGATTTATACAACTCTAGTATATATATTCAAACTTTTTTTTCTTTAGATTCTTTATTAGTTCTTTCTTTACTTTTAGCTAGCAATTTAGAAGGATTAGTTTACTTAGATCTTAGATATTTATATAGTTTTTCTTCCTTTAGTATATGTTTTTAAAGTATATATTCTTTTTTTTGGTTTGATAATTAGGCAGTTTAGCTAGTATGTTCTTCTACTTAAGAATCTAGTTATTTGGTTTTTTAATTTTAGTTTTTTTTCTAAATTTAGTTTTCTTGTAAAACTGCTAAAGATTATACTACCTTCTAACTTAAAACTTGCCAAACAAATTTTTAGTTATTTTGATATTTAAGTTTATTATATCAAAGCTTCTATTCTAAATAGTATAACCAAAGTTATAGATCTTTAAATCCTACTAATTATTAAATAGCCATCAACTATATCACAGAGCTATTTTTTGAAAATATTGTTTATAGAATTCGAACTCTAGACTTGCTATTCATAATACAATAACTCTACTACTTTACTAAGTTACTATATTCTTATTAGATTTATTTTGTATAAGATTAATAATTTAATTATATTAATAAAAACAACTAAGAACAAGATATTGTCTTAGAAAATAAAAAAAATAAAAAAATAAAAGTTTTATAATTTATCACTATAGTAATATATTACTAGTCTATATAGAGTTTAAAATTTTGTTTACAAATCATGATTTGTAACTATAATTTAAAACTTTATACATAAAATTATTAAACTTGCAATACATTGCTATAGTAATAAATTATAAAATCTAAAAAATAAAATAAAATATTTTTTTATTTTTTTAAAAAAAAATTTACTACTAAGATTATATAAAAAATAATTAACATGCCTTTTATTCTTAAAGATTTGTTTAAAAATACCAAAAGTATTAGTAAAAAAATATTATAAGCTTTATTAAAAAAAAATATTAAATATAAAATAAAAATTTATAAATTTATATTTATATATAAAATATAGTTATAATTTATAAAAAATTTAATACAAAATTTAAAAAAAAAATTAAATAAAATTATAGCTAAGATAAGTTAAGTTAGAGATTAAGGTTAAAGTAGTTTATAGTAAAATTTTATATAGATTTTTTTTTTGTTAGAACTCAAAAAATAGTTTTATAAGCAAAATTTTAAGTTATTAATATATAGTGTTTTATATATAGGTATACAAATAGAAATTGCTATATAAAATATTTAAAGAATTTTTTTTAAAAAAACATATAAATATTGTTAAAAAATATTAAAAAAATTTAAAAATATTATTAAAAAATTTATTATAAAATACAAATATATTTAAAGTATTATTAAAAAATTAAAAGCCATTAAAATATATTATTAAAAAATATTAAAACTTAAAAAATAAAATAAAATAAATAAAATAAAATAAAATAAATAAAAGGTTATATAATTTAGCACACTTGTACTGTAATGCACCTATCTGATTAACCAATTAGATTATAAGATTAAGTATAATATGAAATTAAAAAAATAGCAACATCTCTAAAAAATCGCTTGTAGCTTAAAATTTTGCCTATAAAACTATCTTTTGTATCAAACAAAAAAAATTCTTCACAAAATTTTGGATTAAAATTTTTTTGTTAAAATACTCTATTTTAACTCTAACCTAACTCTCATCCTAATACTAAACTGACAAATTAATTATTGTTTTGATTTTATGTAATATAAAGTGTGTTATAATGTATAGATACTAAAATATAAAATTTATAAATAAATATAGTAAATATTAAATAATATCAAAAAAATAAATAAAAATAAATACTAAATACAAGTAACTCTTAATATAAGAAACTCTCAATATAAGAAAATTGGCTTATAAGAAAGTTTTTAATTGGCCCCAATTTAAATCTAATAAATTTTACTCGATATAAGAAAGTTTATTAAGAAACTCTCGATATAAGTATATAAGAATATTTGGGCTATCTCTTATTAATTAAATTTGGCATGATATAAGAAACTACATTATTCATGTGACTTTTAGCCAATCAAATCTTGAGATTAATTTATAATGCAAAATGTGTGATACATCAAAATATATACAAAAAAGTTTAACGAAATGTGTGACAAAAAATAAAAAAGTAGCAATAAAAAAGTATATTGTAATGATAAGGCAAAATATATAACATAATACAGAAAAGTGTAATGCATTAAATAAAAAACAAAGGGAAAAAAAAAAAAACTCTACCTAAAACGCACCAGCAAAAAAATTTGATGAAACAGTTGTATATATAACACTTGCTCTAATACCATCTCAATAGGTGAATTTTCATTTTAATTTTTAAGAACTTATATCTCAACTGTACTAAAAAAATACTTTTTTAAAAATCATAGCTATTAGAAAGTTTTTTAAATTGTTAATTTCATTGCATAAGTCACCAAATAGAGGAATAGAAGACAAGTTAAATTGTCTTATATCATTTTTTTATAATTGTTACTGGTCTTGGATTAAGTATAATAATGGAGAAAAGTAGTAGGTTTTCAGTCAATAGGTTGTCAGTTGGTGGGTCTTTGGTCAATAGGTTGTTGGTCAGGACTTCAACTAGTTGGTTTTTACTAGTAGTTAGTGGGTCTTCAGTTAGTAGGTCTTTAGGTATTAGATCTTTGGTTAGATCATTAGGTGGAGGATCTTCAGTTAATAGAACATCAGTTGGAAATAACATTTCAGGTTATGATTTAACTTTTAAAAGAAAAACATTTAATATGAATGATACTAATAATAACAAAAGACAAGTAACGGATGGTGAAAAGACAAGACGAATCATATTAACAAAGGCTCAAAAAGCTGAAATTTGTTGTTTATGAAAAAAGGGCTACACCCAACTTGTACTTGCAAACAAATTTAAAATTGGCGAATCAACAATCTCAAAAATACTCAAAAAACAAGATTATTTTCTTTCAATTGATCCTAATTCAACACAAGCAAAATCTAAGCGAAATCACTCAACTAAGTATCTTTAGCTAGAAGAAGTACTGGGCTTGTGGGTTTCAAAGACTGAAGCACACCATCAAACAATTACAGGTGCAAACATCCAATGTAAAGCTTTCTAGTTCACTAAAAAACTAAAGATTAACAATTTTTTGGGAGTTAGAAGAGTGGTTCTCAAACTTTAAAAAATGATTTCATATTAAAGAATATACAAGACAAGGAGAATCTGCTAGTGCTCCAATAAATGATATTCCACGTTATCGTGATGAACTAAAAGACATTATTAAAGAATATCACCCCCAAGAT